CTAATCGGTTTAGCCGTTTTCGAGTAATGTTGGTCACCGACTTTGATAACACCATTTTGAGAAAAACGCGCTTAAAGTTTGGAATGCACTTTACATGGGATAAAAAACGCCTTTTCAAATTAGCTTGTAACTTTGAAAATATTCACCGGAACGATATGAAATTTTCTGTGTGTATTCTTAAATATATGTACATTAAGAAAATAAAATTAAAAAAAAATCGATTTTTTGAAAATTCTAACTGTATATAACCCCTTAAAAGATTCCAATCAATGACACTTCGCATTATAATAAACTTTCCATGGTATATCACTAACAAAAATATTTCTAATGATTTTAAAATACCCTCTGTCAAGTCAGTTGTTAAAAACTCTACTACTAAGTACTCTGAAAAACTCCAATTCCACCCTAATACCTTAGCTAATGAACTGCTTAACGAAGTACACGATTTGCGCCGCTTAAAAAGATTCAAACCAATAGATAATATAACTAGATTTTAAGTATATCTCAAGTAGTCTGAAATAAGGTTAAATATGTAATACTCTATTTTGTTACATCAAGATATATATCATACATGTGATATTAATATTAAGAAGGTATAAGCTATTGAGCGAAATACCTGCATGTTATTCTTGTACTATTCTATTTTGACCAATAAATTTGCTTATTGTTACCTTGTAATAGATTGCAAATAAACTCTCATATAAAAAAAAAAAAAACAGATGTGTGCAGATCACACACGGTAGAAGTGAAACCTTCAAAGAAAATCAAGCTTCGAAATAATTGAATTGTAATACAGCGTCATCTATTGAAAGAACCTTACAAAACCTAGGTAACCTCTAAATAAAAATCTTTAAATTAGTAATAAAAAATAATAAAAAAAAATCACGTGAAATAAAATCAATTTCATTAAGATAAGTTAAGTAGTTTCGGAATTATTAGTAGACAAACATATTGTAACACTGAATTTTTATATATAAAATTTAATTAATTAATTAATTAATTAATATATAGAATTAAATTATATATTGAACTAGGGGTGCCCAGCCACGCGTTGCTGTGGCTCACAATCAGTCCGATACACACATCTTTAAGTCAATTACGATTATAAATTGAGATATAAACAGTCCTATCTTTCAAGTTGGATGAAACTGCACACAGTGTACTAAATTTTCTTAAAATCGGTTCAATAGTTTAGGAGTCCATTGCGGACAAACAACGTGACACGTAATTTATATATATTGAATTTTAATAATTAATTAATTATTTTTGTTTCATCGATTTCACGTTCTTCCGTTTCACAATTTTCAAATCAACCTGATTCTAAAGAAGTTTTCACTTAAAAAAAAAAAAAAAATGTCAAATATATGAAAGTAAAGAAAAAAATTCATTACAAACAGTACTTTAAACTGATCGTTTAACACGAGAGAAATCAACAAATGATTGAACAAACTTTTGTCTGTTAGTGTACACAGATTTCGTTTCAAATAAATTCGAAATATTACAAAAGAAACGAATCAATTAAAATACGTGTTTCCTCGTTTGATTTCTTTCACTAATGGTGTAACTTGAAATATCGTGTAAGGGACTAATGGATAACTTGAAATATCGTGTAAGGACCTAATTACATTGTAAAACATCATTTTAATCGTTGGAAATGAAACAATTGTAGAACGTATTCGATACACGATGAATCATAAGCTCCCAGGTTTCAGCCTTGAATCCATTACATAAAGTTACTTTTCAATATCAAGATGGAATACTCTACGTAAGTTAATAGCACAGTAACAAGGAAAAGTCTGACGATTATGAGATAAAAAAAACTTTGTCCCATTTACAAATACTCATTAACATTTTTATTATGTAACACGTAAGAACACAACCAAAGATAAAAACAATTTTGAAGAAATAGATTTGACAATAAAATCAATAGTAAACATCATTTAAAAAAGACAAATGAAAGATAACACCAAAAGACATTTTAAAAACACGAAGAGATATCTTTGGTCCTTGACATTTCGCTTTACAATTTCAACACTTACACAGACATACATTGTTCAAACGATATATATGTGAGACATTAAATTAAAACGTTTTGTAACGGGCGTTTACCATTTTCTGTATATATATATATATATATATCTTAAACTTCGTTTAGTAAAATGATATTTTTTTTTAATGATATATAATGTTGAGACAAAAAAAACATCAATTGTGTATGTGTGTAATTATTGATATCGATAAAGTTACAATAGACTATCGTGTTACGCCATTAATGTCGGCGATACATGTAAAAAAAAAAAAATCGAATTTTTTTTTTTTCATAAATAGTTAGTTTACCATCTTAAAAATATGCCTGTAAATATTTAGAATTAAAATCGCATTATTTATCGATTAAAAATTTATTTAAGTGCACCGCCTCAACTCGGCGCTAGACGCCAACGCTAAACTTTGAACGCATTTTTCTCCAAACGACTTTTTTCAAAGTGTGCTGAAAGATAACTCAAAAAAATTTCAACCGATTCTTATGAAATTTAGCACACATTTTCTTTATAGTATTAGCTTCTAGTTGAATTTTAAAAATGCCCCAAGAATTTTCAAAAATTGCCATTTTTGACCCAAAAACCGTTAAAAAAAGGGTTAAAAATCAGACTTTTTTTGTCTGAGTCGCGCCAATTTACGATTTTTTGACTTTTTAGTTTTTCCTTTGTTCAGCTAGAAGATACATGTTTTATGAACACGCTCCGACCCTTTTTTTAATTTTAGATTGCTAAAAATCATCATGATTGATTCTTATATTTCAATATGTAATGAATAAACATGCTGAGTTTCAAAATGATTCATTTATTTCTTCCATTTGAAATAAGCCTCTGTAAAACGGTCAAAATTTAGGCGTTTAAAAACGTTGTTGTAAAATAATTTTCCTCTCCTATAATATTATATTATTTTTCTCAAGATAATTTATGTATATTTRATTTTGTGAGAAAATATTTCTGAAATAATAATATTGAGAATATTTTTKKTCTTTTACATTAATTCTTTTTATTAAGATAGTGATAAATCAAAATTACGAAAAAAAAAACTCGATAACGATGAAGTCAATGTAATACTCGATAAATATTTTAATGCATTGAATATCCAACGTTTTATTATTATAAACAACGTAGTATAAAAACCCGTGTTATATGTAAATAAAACTATTTGCAATAACTTTTACACGTTGTATAGGTGTCTAATATATTTGTGTGTTACGTAGTACATTTTATAGTTTCAACATTTATTTTAAAAATAAATTTATCGTTTTTATTATTTCAAAATAAACTAACAAAAAATATCATTTTTTTTATATATACCAAAATTGATATCATATTTTAATTAATACACGTAATTCTGTGTGTAAAACTAACTCAAAAACCCACATAACATAAAAACTTTCTAAAACATTTCTTGAAAAGTTTGAAATCTTTCAAAAAGGGTTTCTAAAAATAATCTTTCTACAAGATGAAAATGTCCGCGTTCAGAAATTTGCAAAAGATTACTCTATCAGTAAAATATTTTTGTAAAATCTTTTATGAATCTTTTTCAAAATATTTTAGAATAATGTCTGCAAGGTTTTTGAAAGATTTGTTGAAAATATTTTACGAAAACTTTCTCGGAAAAATTTCAAAACCTTTCGTGTTATGTGAGAATGGTTCAAATCCAAAACGTGTAAAATGAAAAAAAAAAAGAAAGAAATATTTTGTTGAAAAAGAAAGTACCTTGAAATCAATTGATAAAATGTGATCTCAAACTCGTCTTGATCTATTACACCATATTGTCACTTTTTCGAATTAAACAGAATTTACAAAATTCAATCGAGAGATAAGAAATGATATTTTTGATAAATAACGTTTTTCAATAGAAGTTAAACTGTATTAAAGATCGAGGAATATCTAATACTAAGTATACTGCGCATATTACGTCTTCCACGTACGAGATTCGGAATACTTGTGGCTTTCACTTGACGCTCGGTCAACCTTGAACCTTCTCTTTCATAATCAAAGATCGTGATCTTCTTTATCGACTGAAAACCAGAAGAACGTGCATATTTCGATATCTCGAAGAAAAATTTTTATTTTCATAAAGATACTACACATAGAGCAAACTAGGGACCCTGTAGGAGGGACGCGCCAAAGAATTTTGGGGGACAGGAACTTATGTAGTCACGTGATTGCGCGCGAATGAATCAAACATTTTAAATAGTATCAAAGTTGTATATAGTAATAGTGAATAGTGTAGGGGTGGTAGAGTGGTGAATTGGTTTGAAAAAATTATGAAATAATGAATTGCATCAAATACAGACAAAAAAATGAACCATATTTAATGATAATTAAAAGATTTATATTAAAATAGAATAGGTTACACGAAAAAATTATTATCAATTCAAAAAGAATAATTCAATTAAGTTTGATTTGATAAAAGACATTACAGTATTTAGAAATTTCAAAACAACTTGTAGAAATTTATACAATTTTGATAAAAATACAATTATCTACTATATATATTATATTTACAATTATTTTAATCATTCGTACAATTTGTTTTTAATTTCCAATATTAATAAATCAGCTAGGATTCCTGGATATTATATTTTCATAACTAACCACAGCCGTTATTTATACATACTAAAGATAAACATGGCTGCGTGTTGTATCGGAAGCTGTCCCCCAAAATTTGCAGCCAATAGCAACCCCAGCAATATGTATGGCGGGTCCCTCCTACAGGGTCTCTAGAGCAAACAAGCCAGCATAAAACCTGTCGGCAAAATAAAAAGAGATAGAACATGGGAGGTTGATGTTGTCTCTCTTTAACTTGCGAGTCTTTTGTTCTTNTTTAGAATTTATATAGTCAAGAAAGCAGCTTACTATCTGTAAACGTGTTCTTGGACTTGCATCTTTTATTTGGATTGTTTTTAGATGATGCATCCAAAAAATCTGGCTAAATCTGTCTCTGGTAAATTTGTTTGAATAAAAAGGCATGTAACTGATATCATTCTGTGACCAGTACTCTTTGGTGAACGAGAGTCACCTCTGGAGTGCAAAGGGTTATAATATCCTTTTTATCTCAAATAGTAAATTTCTTTTCAAAAGAAATAATTAATTATTATTAAAGCAACAAGAAACATGTTCTATTCAAATTCCTAAGCTATAATATACATCTATATATATAGTATCTGATAATTTTCAGAATTAAATAAATACGAATCATAAGAGCTAAAAAAAAGAAAAACTAAAACTTCCCTTTAGGATCATTTTCTGTATCATTTTGCTGTTCCTGTTGGTTGGACAGTGACGAACGATAAATGCACAAAGAGGTATGTATACGTTTACGTGTATATCGTGTATATGTATTGACGCACACCTTCACGTATATCACGGGTGTCCCATTTCAATCGATTCTTTCCAACTAAATAACACATTAGGATCGAAGTCAATTCGATTTGTGTAAAATTAATGTTAATCATTATTATTAGTCAGAATATTAATCAAATTAAACTAACATCATGTTTATTAACAACACCATTAAAGATTATTACATATACAATGATTGTAATACGAATCGATTCAAATAGGACACCCTATATGCGTATACATGTGTTTTTGTTGTTGTTGCTGTTGTTGTTGTTGTTGTTTTAAGGGATTAACTTCATCGTCAAACAGATAGCAATTGAGATAATTAGAGAAACGTAACGATCGAGCTTGGTCCTGCACAATACGAACAAGGAAATATCCTTTATCAACAACGATCGTTGCTTTTCTCTTATTATATTTCAAATTTTATATTTCATAGTTACGAAATTTATTGACGACCTCGCTCGAGGCCTGTGAGTCCCAATCGACATCACGTCGTGCACCGTAGTAAATGTTTGCCCCACCTTCGCTGGCCCTTCTGTGAGTATTCGGTGCTTGCACTTTCATAGTACCAGGTGAACCCTCTGCATCTCCTCCACCACTACCAACGGTGGTACTTCCATCCGGTAACATCCGGTCCTTTGTTTTTGGCGTACTCCAATGCATCGACTGCGAATTTATTTAGTTTGTTTCTTTCTTTTTCTTGTTCACCTTCTTCTCAATTTTTTTTAATTATAATCATCAATTTGTAAATACTTCAACAAATAGGATTGTTTGCAATTTGTTTGCAAATGAATCGTATAAATTGTAATTACATTTTTTTTGTTCTCAAAAACAAACAAACAAACAAAATTGTCAGCAAATATTGAAAAATGTTGAATAACTTACAAATATTATTTTTATCAAAAATTGATTTTGCTTTTCATTTTTATAATTGCTCTCACTTTTATAATTCAAAATTAAGAGACTGATTATATTAAATATTTTGTTGTTACTCGTAAATTTGATATGTTTAATTACTTTATGATTTGAAATATTAAACGTAGGAAAGAAAAATTACGTGAAAATAAATTTGATCTTAGAAAATGGTAACGATGAACGATCATTTATCAAAATGCATTTATCCAACTGTTCACTTCTCAACCAAGACTTCTACTATGTAAATATTTAAAGATTACTTCAAATACTTTTAAATATTTTAACATCTATGTTAAATGTTCGAAAATAATATTTGCTTTCAATACGTACATCTATCATATCATAACGTATTATTATTAAAAAAAACAATGTTCGCGTTCCACATATAAATAGAAGGTAAATCGTGTCAAAGGATATAGAAGCTCGAGATTTATCCTCGAAGCGAAACTCTCTCGTATCTATCTATATATACATATGTGTATGTACACGCGTCAAAGTTTGAATAAAACGCAAGTTTATAAAGCTTTTGTTTGCGGAGACCCGTTTGAACATACGTTTATTTCGAAACATGCTATTGCGTTGATAAAGTCTCTCGGAACGAACGTAAGAAAATATAAACCTTTATTTTTCCAAATGTTTACACAACTCCGAACCGTTTCCACGCGTTCAACAATTTTCACGGAATTTTTCTTTGCACAAACGTAACATTTTATTTTATTTTTTTTTTATTTTTTCACAAAAACAAAATAATACAAATATAATATAATACTAAATAGAGAAAGATTTTATTATTATCTAGTTGACATTTAACCTTTGTTAACTACACTTGGTTCAAAGGACCCAGACGTTTTTTGCTACTTGAGTCATTTCTCTCAATTGTTTAAATTTTGATAATTTTTTAAACATATTTACATTTAATTTAAAGCTATAAAACCTATATAGTTTTTTTAAGTAAGTATTAACGAAGTTTCCAAAAAATGTTGAAGTAAATCTATGCAATAGTTAATTTTTTATAACAATTTTTCTCGCCCAGGTCCAAAGGACCCGGGTGTGGTAAGCGTGTTACTCCAAATTTTTAGAAATCATTTTAACAAGTTGATCGTCGATTGTTAATTTTTGCATAAATTTCGTCAAGGTGTTAAATTTGTAATACTACGAATATACTGTATATGTATTCCTTTTGACTTACTTGATGAACGTGTTCCTTCATTCCAACCCATTGCTTGTAGCTAATGGAAATACCACTGTTCCTCCACTTGTCATAGTTGCTCCTCTTTTCTGGATCGCAGAGAATCTCTTTGGCATTCTAAAATAAGGTCAAATATAGAATAATCGAATCGATATAAATTTTCTAACATCATCATCATCATCATCATCATCATCATCATTATCATCACTTTCTCTTCATTTTATATTTAAAATACTAACCTTAAGCTTTTGAAACTTTGCCTCGGCTTCTTTGTCACCAGCATTTTTGTCAGGATGATATTGCAAGGCCAGTGCCTTGTATTCTGCTATAATTTGCTCGACCTATGGCATACGATTAAACAAAACAAAAAAATCAAAGCTTCTTTTTCAAAGAAATTAAAGAAATATATTCTTGAAAAGAATGGTATATGATAATACTCATACAAACGTGTTATTTGATTAAAAAACATTTAAGGGGTAACACCACTATAGAGCCTGAAAAAAGCCTTTTTTTGGAGAATTTTTTTTGCGAAAACTAAATGAGGAATAGAATTTAATTTTTGAGGGTTGGTTAGTCATATATAGAACTATGTACACAAATATTTTTATTGATTTAAGATCGAAAATGGCGTCGTAAGAAATTCTTAATCTATGTACTATTATCTTGAGAAGTACATAAGGATTTTTCCCTAAGTCAAATTCTGTGAAAATGGCGCAACTTTGAATAAAAAAAATCGACTTTTCGACGAAATAAAATTTGTAGAAAATTGTTTATAAAAAAAAAAGTTTTTATTCAATCAAAAATCGGATATGTACTTCTGTAGATAATATAACTATCAAACTATTTTCAAAATTTCAGGTCAATCGATTAAATGATGCTCGAGTTCTGAGTCCGCCCGATTTGAAAAATGTAGTTTCGAGAAAAACGCGTTTAAAGTTTTGTTATTACTATTCGAGGCGCTTCCTAAAAAATAAAATTTCGCCATGTTAAAAATATTTTTTGTGCTTCGGGACCAAGTGCATAATGTTTTTAGATGTCTAAAGTACACTTCAAGTTAAAAAAACAAAAATCGATTTTTCGAAAATTCTATAGTCGTGTTACACCCCTTAAATAATTTTCTATGTATAGGATATAGTTATATAAATAAAAAAAATAAATTGGAAAAAATAATTTATCAACTAAGGTCAATAACATTTATGAATGATAATACGATTACGTCAATTCATTCAACTGTGAACTAATAAATATTCTTAAATCTTATCAAAATGTGATTGCATTACTATCTCTATAAAAAAAAAAAAAATATATAATGATTTGCAATATATTTCATACTACTATAAATAAACAAATTAATAAATCAATCTCATCGCGATCATTTTAAGTTTGAACTATTGATAATCATTATTAAATCATATTATCGGTAAGATAGAATAATTAAAAAAAAAAAAAAAAAAAACATTTGAACATTTAACCTGTAATTGCAATTATCGTACTATGATTTATATTATAATTATTATTCGAATTGTACACAACTTTTGGATCATTTTAAATTTCAATTTAATCGATAAAATTTGTATTTCAAAAAAATACATTACAAACGATGTTTAACGATAATCGAATTTGTATAAAAAAAAAAAAAAACAAAAGAAATTAAAATTCATATATGTATTTATTTACAAATTACATCATTTCAATAGACAAAACTTTTATTATATATTATTATTATTATTATAATTTATTTTATTTTTTATTAAAATCTTTTCATAAAAAATAAAAACATTCGATCAGTGATATTGTTAAAAATAAAAAATAAAAATAAACAGATCTTAAAATATCAAAAAGGTTACTTTCAACAAACTTTCAAAATGACAAATTGTAGAAAACAAATTGGAAATATTTTGTCGTGAGAGTTATCAATTAGAATGAAATTTTGAGTCAAAAAGGTATTCTTACTTCATACCTTTTTTGTTTTTCCAATTGGATGAATTCCGTTTGATAGCGTTCATGCAATGCTTCGTTGAAGTTAACGGGACGCCCTTTTGTTCAAAACTTTTTACGATTTCAATGGACTACGGCACATTTCACGAAAGACTACGTTATTTGTAAAAGAAAAAGGGAATGAGGATGCTCCTCTCTTTGATAATGTTGCAAATAGCGCGTTTTAAATAAGCGAGATCCTTTGTTTTTTCATGAACGTTTAAAATTCATAAGTACGAGAAAAGAGCAAAGAACGAACATTGGTTTCTTATAAAATTAGACACCCAATAATTATTTGTTGACCTATTTACAGTTAAACGAGATCGATCTTTAAATTAAATATTTATTATACGTTAACACGTATTTATGATCTTTTTTTTTGTTTCTTTTTTGAAATAATACAAATTAATTCAAACACAAACATAAGAAAGATATTAATTGCACGCGTAAAATGACATTTCATCAATTTAATCAATTTCAATTTTATAATTACTTTACGTAATGATAATAATTATTAAAAATCGTTAAGTACGTAATCGTGTATTATGTAATCGTATTTATATAACCAATATAATTGTAACGTTATCAAACAAACCATACAAATATTTAACAGGATTAAAATTAATGAAAATTTTCTAACGACATATTATATTCTAGATTTTGTTAAGGCCGGCGATGCATGTAAAATAAAAATAAAATCGAATTTTTTTTTTTTCATAAATAGTTAGTTTACCATCTTAAAAATATGCCTGTAAATTTTTAGAATTAAATTCGTATTATTTATCGATTAAAAATTCATTTAAGTGCACCGCCTCAACTCGGCGCTAGACGCCAACGCTAAACTTTGAACGCGTTTTTCTCAAAACGACTTTTTTCAAAGTGTGCTGAAAGATAACTCAAAAAGGTTTCAACCGATTCTTATGAAATTTAGCACACATTTTCCTCATAGTATTAGCTTCTAGTTGAATTTTAAAAATGCCACAAGAATTTTCAAAAATTGCCATTTTTAACCCAAAAACCGTTTAAAAAAAGGGTCAAAAATCAAACTTTTTTTGTCTGAGTCGTGCCAATTTACGATTTTTTGACTTTTTAGTTTCTCCTTTTTTCAACTAGAAGATACATGTCTTATGAACACACTTCGACCTTTTTTTTTAATTTTAGATTGCTAAAAATCACCATGATTAATTCTTATGTTTTAATATGTAATGAAAAAATATGCTGAGTTTCAAAACGATTCATTTATTTCTTCCATTTTAAATAAGCTTCTGAAAAATGGTCAAAATTTAGGCATTTACATGTATCGCCGACCTTAAGGGGACACGTCAACAAAAAAATCGATTTTTTTTTCGATTTTTTGAAAGAATATTATTTCATAAATATTTCTTCAAATTTTGGTAAAGATCCGCGCATTATTTACGAAATTGTAGTAGTTTAAACGGAGTGCGCCGTAGCGCTCCAAGTAAGTTGCCAAAACTTTAAATGTTCATTTCTCCTATTCGCGTTTTTAAAACGGTTGCCCTCGCTGTGTCCAGACCATTTATCCGATCCTTACCAAATTTTGTACAGTAATACTAGATACACGTATCTAGGGAATGAACGAAAGGATTTTTCGAAAAAATGCCAATTTTTTTTTTTCTTCAAAAACTCGGCGATTTTTCTGCAAAAATGTCAATTTTTTTCGCAAAAAGTCGACTATTTTGAGAAAAATTAAAAAATCAAAATTTCCTTTCGTTCATTCCCTGCGCCAACATCTCTATTAAAGGACAACACTCGGTTTTTTTGTTTCTGATGAACCAATTTTTGCCAGTGAGGGCAACCGAAAATCACCTTTTTTTTTTGGACTCTTAGAAAAGTGGCCACAGACAACACAATTGACAATATTTTTACACACAAAAAATTGTGAATATAGTTCAGATATATAACTAACATATACCAAAAATTTGTATTGATATTAATAAAACTGGCTGCAAAAAAAATTCACAAAAATACCGTTTGTTTTTTACACTCGAAAATGATGTGTCCCCTTAAACGAAAAATCGGTTGTTGTTCAATTTTCATTGAAGATTATTATTTAATAATAATAATAAAATATATGTTATACTTTAGTGTAATCCAAGAATGAAAGAAAGAAAGAAAGAAAGAAAAGAAAAGAACAAAGTAAATCGTCAATGATGATAAAAAGAAAAAAGAAAAATGAAAAAATTCGAAATGACAGGGATCGTGAAATATCAATACGAGTAGAAAACTTCGTCGCTCTTTAAAATAGAGAGAGAGAGAGAGAGAGAGAGAGAGGCTCGATCGTGTACACGTTTTACGTTAAAAGCTGTATTAAAGGGTACTTCAAATAAAAAAAAAAAAAAAAATAGAAAGAAAGCATTATATTTCACTTTATATCTTAGGAATTTCTTGTATACAATATTTTCTATTATTTTATTGAGAACTTTAATCGTCAGCTTTAAGTCGTATATTTACAACTTTTTTTTTTTTATCATATAACACACATATAATTAAACATATAATCTTTAATATTTNCATGACTATAGTGACTTCCCAGAACCTCCAGGAGATTGGTTTGGAAATTTTGATGCATCCATCATATAGACCAGACCTTACACTAAGCGATTATCATATTTTTGTTGCACTGCAAAACTTTCTTATTGATAAGAAATTGACATTAAAAGAAGATTGAAAAAATCGATCACAAGAGTTTTTCGCAAATAGGGACCAAGACTTTTATGAGACAGCCATTGTGAAGCTACCTTTAAAACGTTAATAAATTAACGAACAAAACTGTGCATATTTGATCAAAATCAGACAACCAGAAGTATGTTAAATAAAGGTTTGAAGTTAACGTAAAAATAATGGATAACTTTTTCCCCAACCTAATAGTTAATATAATTGATAACAAGCTAGACCAAAGCAAACCGATAATAGCAACTTTTCTTGATTTGGCCAAGGCTTTTGACACTGTCAATCATGAAATATTACTTGAAAAACTTGACAAGTATGGGATTAGAGGAAAAGTCTTGAATTTATTTACTAGCTATCTTACGGATAGACAACAAAGGGTAAAAATACTAAATGTTACTAGTGCGTATAAAACAATATTAATTGGTGTGCCACAAGGAACAATATTGGGTCCTTTGTTGTTTATTCTATACGTCAAGAACCTCCTGATTGATATGCCAAAGAAAGCGATAATATCTTACGCTGATGATACAGTCATCATTTCTGATGATGTCACGTGGTCTGCTGCTCAAGACAAGATGAACGTTTKGCTAAAAAAAGTAGATGTTTGGCTAGCTCTGAATAAATTGTCTTTAAATATTCAAAAGACTTTCTTTATAACTTTTGGATGTTAATC